GACCCCGAGGGGAGGGGAAGCGGGGGCAGGGGGACCCCGCAGACTGAGGAAGCAGGCGAAGGGAGACCCCAAGGGGAGGGGGAGAAGGGGACCCCCGCGGGTCGGGCCTACCTTGGGGTAGGTGTGCAGGGGGTAGGTCAGCTGGCAGGCTCGGTGGCAGGACGCCGTGTCGCCCAGCACGGAGTCGAAGGCCTCGGCCGAGGCGGCCCCCGCGGCCCGGGGCAGGCCCAGCGCCGCGGCCAGCAGCAGCACAAACGGTGGCCCCGGGAGCCGCGGGGCCCGGGTCCAGACCCAGGGCGCCCCCAGCGCCGCCATCTTGTCTCGTCCCTTCGGTCGCCGCGGCCGCCGCCTCCTCCTCCTCCTCCTCCTTCGAAAGTGGCTGTTTTTCTTCCTCTTCCTCCTCCTCCTCCTCCTCCCCGCCTCCTTCCGGTGCCGCGGCCGCTTCCGCCTCCGAAGCCCCGCCTCCACCCCGCCCTGCGGGACCTCCCAGTAACCGCGGCCTCCGCCTCCTCCTTCCTAACGAACTTCCCAAGCGCGCCAGGCTCGCAAGATCCACCAGCCGAGGGCGCCTGCAGGGGCATGCTGGGCAATGGAGTCCGCCCCGCCCCGGGCGGCGGGGAAAAGGCGGGGCTTCCGTCCCGGACGGAACTACAGGGCCCGGCAGGAAGCGCGACCATTTTGCTTCCGGAGTTGGCGCCGGCGCCGTCCGGGGGGAGCGAGGACTCTCGAAGGCTTTGGCGGGCCCGCGCTCCAGAACCGTTTCCCTGGTGGGTCGGCATGAGCTAGGACAGGCCCTCGGGGCGGCCCCGACGTTCCCCAGGGAGGGGGAGGGGGAGGGCAGGAGGCCTTGAGGGACTGGACGCTCCTGGGAAGGGGGAAGGCGGGCGTGAGGAGGGTCGGTGGTTCGGGGGCTTTCAGCGCTGTGGGTGATTGGCTGGCCATTGCGTAGAACCTTTGACTTCCACAGGTGATTGGTCGCCCGTTGCTAAGGTCCCTTCGCTTCCACAGGTGATTGGCTACTCGTCGTTAGCGTGATTGGCTGCCCGTTACTAGAGATTGCCCCGGGGTAATTGGCTGCCCGTTGCTAGGGTCCCAGTTGGGGGTTGGGAGTGGTGCTTGGCAGCCCCTCTAACAATAACAAACCCTCAGTTAGCGCTTTAAGGTTTGCAAAGCAGCTTACAAATATTGTCTAGTTTGGAGAAGCGTGTCCGGATCCTGGTCCGGGGGCTTCTCCCGGTCTTCCTCCCAGGAAGCACGGGGGGTCGTGTCAGCAGCCAAAGCTGAGGTAATAAACAGTGTCCCCCACCCTGGGTGATCAAGTGACGTGAGTTTAGAAGAGCCGAAGAAAAGGATAAAAGTGCGTCGGAGAAAGAAGGAGGAAGAACAGAGAAAGCTGGGGAGTGCTCCAGCCGAAGTAGATAAGGCAGGAGAAGATGCCAGTCCTCGTGTGCCTCCTACATCTCTGTGCCGCGGTCCTGGATCTGTCAAAAAGATCCGCACTAGAGCATCACAGACCCCAGCCTGAGGAAGAGAAAGAGGGCGGTTCATTTGGAGAGTATCGTGACCAGGAATGAATGCAAAGGAGCGTGTGAAAATCGTGGAGCTCTGATCCACCAGAAAAGGGACTTCTTTGGGAGACCTCGGCCTGTTGGTGCCGAATTCCCAGGAACAAACATAGCGCCAGAGGAGCACATCCACCCTCAACTTATGGTTGACTGGGATGGTGAAAGGGGCCAGTGGAATGGCTTATACTCCAAACAACATATGAAGATTGTGGAAGACTATGCCAAAGTTGATCTGGCTAAAGCATACACTCAAGCTCAGAAGCTACAAAAAGAATTAATCTCCGGAAAATTATTGGAACAAGTGAATTCCCTAAAACACCAGTGGGGAGAAGAAGAACCAAATTCTCAGGGGGAAAGAGACCCTAACAGTAAAGATGAGGGTGAAGATAAGTATATGGATGACACTGATATGCCTGGACAGAATTTTGACTCTAAAAGATGAATTACAGTCTGGAGTCCCAGGATTCTTGAAGACATTTCTGTGATCCAAAAACGAGCAATGAGAGAGACTCTATGCCAATGGGGGAAGAATCCTGATGAAGTTAGTTATTCGGGGAATGTTTTCCTTTGATACATTGGAGATAAAGATTCAATGGCACAAATAGTTGTTTGCCTGGGAGGCTTAGGACAAAGGGTCTGAAAAAAGATTTCAAAGAAGAGAAAGAAAGCATCCTAGAGAAGTAGGGAGGTCAAGAACACCAGGATGTCCACCCCCCTCCCCCAGTTACTATTAGCTCAAAGAGAAGACTAAAATATTCAGGACGTGGAACAATCATCCAAGGACAAGACTGAGCTATTGCCTGCCCTAGGTATGAGGAGGATGTCGAGATCAACAATCAGACACATATCTGGGCTTCCTCTTGGAAAGAAGGTGCATGGGGGTACAAGTGCTATCACTCCTTTGTCAAGTTTTCCTACTGTACTGGAGAAACTGGGAAGGAAATTGCTAATGCAGATGAATATATGCCTGATGATGCTGTGGGAGAAGAGCAAATGAGCAGACCAGAAACTCTGATGGAGCTTCACCAAGAGAAACAGAAAGAGGGGAAGAAGAAAAAGAAGAAACACAGGAAGAGTAGTTCAGACAGTGAGGGTGAAGAAAAGAAAATACACAAAAAACTGAAAAAGGCATGAAGTGCTGCAGAGGCCCGCCTCCTCCAGTCAAGGAGACCATGCAGCTTCATGAGAGGAAAAGGCCCTGCTGGCATGTTTGAGGGCCAGGAGTCTGCAGAAGAGGAAATGGAGGCCTATAGGATGAAACGCCAGAGGCCACATGATTCCCTGGCTTCTTTCTTGGGACAGCAATGACATGACTTGGAAGGAGAGTTAGAGCACTGACTTGCATATGTTCTTTCTAGTTTTGTGGTAAACAGAGATAGAAAAATTCTCATTTTTTTTCTTACTGTCTGTCTTTGAAATAAATTTCAGGAACTCTTCCATAAAAACAAACAAACAAACAAAAACTCAAATATGTAGTTTGAGCCTCACAAGGACCCTGAGAGGTAGTAAGCCCTGTGAGCTTAGAGAAGTCAGTTAAACCTCTGTGCCTGCATCTGTAAAATGGGCATATTATTTCTCTACTCACTACAACCGGTACAGTGAAGATTTAATGAATAAGTGTGGGGGTGGTTGTCAGGAGAAGCTGAAAGACAGACATCTGCCATCTGGAAGGAATGAACGTTATCCTCATTTTACAGATGTGGGAACTGAGGCTCAGTGGTGACCATGCCTAGAAGTGACTTCCTCAAAAGTGACAACTAATTACCAAGCATTTATTGAATGCTTACTATGTACCAGGCATTGCACTAAGGTCTGAGAATACAAAAAGAGGCAAAAACATGGTCCTACCCTCAAGAAGCTCCCAGTTTAATAGCTCTTGTGTCACCAACCATGTGCAAACAAGATATTTTCAGGGTAAATTATCATAGCCAGCATTTATATATAGTGCTTTAAAGTTTGCAAGATGCTTTACAAATATGATACCGTGTGATCTAATAACCCTTTGGGGTGAATGCTGTTATCATCCCTCTTTTACAGATTAGGAAATCAAGGCAGACACATTAAATGACTTGCCCACTTGGGTGTAACCACATAGCTAGTAAGTGTCAAAGGCTAGATTTGAACTTGGGTTTTTAAGACTCCAGCCCGTTGCTCTGTGTACTGTGAAATGGTCATGAAGAAGATCTGTTGCAGAAGGTGGGATTTTGGGATTTTAGGATTTTAGTTTAGATTTGAAGGAAGCCAAGGGGATCAGGAAACAGATGAAGAGGGAGAGAATTCTAAGCCTGAGGGACAGCCAGTAAAAAGACCCACAGCAACCCTTTGACCCAGCAGTAGCGCTTCTAGGGCTGTATCCCAAAGAGATTATACAAAAGGGAAAAGGACCCACACGTACAAAAATATTTATAGCAGCTCTTTTTGTAGTGGCAAAGAATTGGAAATTGAGGAATGCCCATCAATTGGGAAATGGCTGAGCAAGTTGTGGTATGTGAATGTGATGGAATACTATTCTGCTGTAAGAAATGATGAGCAGGCAGACTTCAAAAAAACCTGGAAAGACTTGTATGGTCTGATACTGAGTGAAGTGAGCAGAACCAGGAGAACGTTGTACACAGTAACAGCCACGTTGTGTGATGACTAATATTGATAAACTTAGCCCTTGTCAGCAATACAAGGATCTAAGACATCTCCACAGGTCTTATGATGGAAAATGCTATCCACATCCAAAGAAAGAACTATGGAGTTTGAATGCAGATCAAAGCATACTATTTGCTATTTTTTTCTTCTGTTTTGTTTTGTTTCCTCTTTCTGGTGGTTCCCCCTATGGTTCTAATTCTTACTTACAACATCCCTAATGTGAAAATATATTTAATAGGAATGTATATGTGTAGCCTATATCAGATTGTGAGCCGTCTTGGGGCGGGAGGTAGGGAGGGAGGGGGAGAAAAATTTAAAACTCAAAAGCTTATGGAAGTGATTGTTGATAATTCAAAATAAATTAATTTAAAAAAAAACTTAAAAAAAAAAGACTCAAAGCATAGCTAAGAAGTATTTGTGGCAGGATTTGAACTCCAGTCTTCCTGATTCCAAGCCCAGTGCTGTGTCCACTATGACTTGTCCTAGTGGGGATGGGATTGTTGTCCAATGTCCTTTGTGATCTGGTAGTGGAAACAGAGCAGAAGACACATGGGTTTGAATCCATTTAGTAGCTGTATGAGCTTAGGGAAGTCAGTTAAACCTCTGTGCCTGCATCTGTAAAATGGGCATATTATTTCTCTCCTCATCACACCCAGTACAGTGTGACGTATCACATACATCACGTAAGTGAGGGGCAGTTATCAGGAGGAGCTGAAAGACAGACATCTACCGTCCAGAAGGGATGAACATTCTTATTGGTGTGATTAATGTTCTGCTTGGTGGAGGCATGGACTGTCATGCCATCCAGGTCATGTTGATGAGGTTTAAGGAAGAACCCTTTGTTCCACCTTTGAAAACTTCATTCCTTGGAAAGTGTGCACTGGATTGGATGGCTTGGCTTAGGGTAGGTCTGACTTTGTAAACCTCCCTAGAGGCAGCTCCCGTATGCCACATACTGAGCCTGGAGTCAGGACAGACCTGAGTTCAAATGTGACTTTTGACACTTAGTGGCTGAATGACCTTGGGCAAGTCACTTAACTTCTATTTGCCTCAGTTTTCTCAACTGTAAAATGGGGATAATAATAGCACCTACCTCCCGGGTTATTGTGAGGATTGAATGAGTTAAAGCACTGAGCACAGCTGCTGGCACGTAGTAGGCACTTAGTAAATGTTTGTTTTCTTCTTTCCTTTATGTAATAGGAATATGGCACC